CTTCCTCTCCATCTTACAGGTGAGGGCAAAGTCTCTCGTACAGTTGAGGATTATTAACCTGGAGTGAACATGAAATGTGTGTAGTTCATACAAAGCTCATGGACTCAGACACGCAGACTTGGGCTTGGGTTCCACAGAGTTAAAGGCAAAAATAAATTGGTTGGACGAGTTTGTCATGAGAAAAAGTCACAGAGTTTTATTATGAAAGCATATGACATTGGATCTTCTTTGGGATTTGCACATGAACATCTCAAGTCTCTGGTCTGTGTTAACTTTCGAAGCCATGAGAAGTAGCCCAAATGTTAGATACGGAATGGAACTCAGCTGTCACCCAGTCCAGCACTTTGATTTCGGATTCGCAGAGACAGAAGCCTGTAGAGGTTAAGTGACAGATGCAAGGCCTTGCAGTTGGTGGCAGAGCCGGGACTGGAACCTGTGACCCCATTCTGACGCGAGGGCTTGTTAGTCTATATGAAACTGCCCTGCCTTGAAGTGGCATCCACTGCTCATGGGGTAGCACATCAGTCACTCTCTCACTCCAAGGCGGTAGTGACATACCTTGCCACCAAACTGAAGAGATGTTTTAATAATACGTTCCAGATTTCCTTGGACTTTGGGTAGGCTTCTGGCCATCCTTCCCACCCCCATCCGTCATGCTCGCTCATGCAATGCAAAACGATTTGAATGTGACTCAAAAAAAAATTCCGTAGTTTGCCTCACCTTCTGAATCCTACTCTGCCCTCTCTCGCCAAGTGTCCTAGGTGTTTCAAAGGCCAGCAGGACAAGCTGCCTCTAGACAGCCAGTCATCTGACTGCTTGTTGCTGCAGTTCCCTAGCAGCCGGAAAGCTGCAGGGTTAAGTCTGTGGACTTACGATGCACCGATCTGACCAGTAAATATTTGTTTGATGTTATTGACTTTTTGTGGTAGTGAAAAAAAAAGAAAAGTCCCTCATGGTACCAGGATACCTTGGTATCAAGGCAGTGAAAGTTGAGACTGACCATCATTGTGGTCACTCATCCACCCGGCACTGACATTCACTCCGTATTACTTGTCACTCAGAGGCAGAACAGTCAGCGTATGTCAGCATATTTAATGCGTAATGTGCTTTATAATACAGCTCCAGAGACATTGACTTTAAAAATACATCGATAATTTGCTTTGTATACATAAAACTGCCTTGGACATTTTTCCCCCCTCTGCGATATTTAAGTAAAAATAGAATAGTGTTCTGTTTTAGGGATCAGCCTCTCCTTTATTAGTGTGTGTGTGTGTGTGTGTGTGTGTGTGTGTAGAGAGAGAGAGAGAGAGAGACAGGGAGGGAAAGGGAGAGAGGCAGAGAGAGAGAGAGGGGAGAGGGAGAGAGGCAGATAATATATATATACACACATATACATATATGTGTATGTGTGTG